AGCGAAACAGTTGACTGCGTATAATTAATGTAGTTTCAGGGAAGACGATAGGGATTAAGTTCGTTGTTTGCATATAAGTAGCATGTAGTATTAGAATTGTCTTTAGAGACAAAGAATGGTGGGTTTAATTTTGCAGGGAAACTAATTTTGTGATGTTTATATGACATTTATAGACATGAATCTTGAAACTAACACATCCAGTCACTTGTTCGCTGTTGTGACACATGTTTGTAAGCATCTCAGTTCAATCATGACACTGGGTATCCGACTGAACATATGTTTACAATTCATTTTGTAGCAGGAGAAGTGGGTTGTGTCATCAGGAATCAGGCAGAACATCCATTGGGAGGCTAATATCTACGTTTATCACTGAGCGATCTGCGAAAGTGTTCTTGTTCAGCACCACAACAGTGAGTCTCTGAAGACTCCTTTATTGCATAAAGCTACCTAAACGGAACCTTGTTATATGATAGTAGTGATACTGATGTTGGTGCAGTGTTAAAGAATAGAGAATCGATTATAGAATCTTGAACAGACTTTTAGTGTGGTTTGCCATTCATTTATTCAATATGAGTTTCACCATTATTCTTTACCTCGAAGGTACAATTTGTTCTCAAGTCGTTTTGGAGTGGATACTATGTTATATTTTATATTAATTCCACATAATTTTTGTGTATCTCGTGTACGAAATATCCACAATTGTACATAAGCTTTATCTTTGTAGGTTACGGAAATTTCTGAGCCTACTCAATCTAATAGTCGAACTCGATTTACAAGGTCCCTAAGCGCCACCTATCCACCACCTTACTTTAGTTCATCTGAACATATAACCCTCCCGGGGAATACTTTCTACACTTGGTCAAGATTTTGTCAGCAACCGATTTCTGGGAGGCTTAGTGGGCATCTAAACGAGTCTAATGGACTTGTTGTAGGAAGTTCTGTACCTGCTGTAACCAATGTCAATGATTCCACTCCTCTCATCGTACCCAGTGCAATTCGTCAACGTACACCACATGATGTAAGTGCTTTTCCATGTCTTTTAGTGCTATTTCGTCTATTAAATTCATGCTATGACTTCTTAATAAAGAGTTAGATCAGTAGTTATATAGTGTCTTTATTATCACTTCAGTTTTAATGCATTACAAGAGTGTTCTTGAGATGATGCCAGTTTTTACCCAGTTTGGGTTTATCCGAAAGTCATTTGAATGTTACTGGTGCTGGAAACAACGGATACATTTTTATCCGCTTATTTAGATTCATTTTAATTGGTTAAACTCTTAACTCATTTGTGCGAAAATTCATAACAAACCATCTGATTTTATTTTGCAAGAGTTTGACTGATTCTAAGTTATATTACTGACTACCACCAGTTAGAGGACCAGGGGGTTACTGGACAGCTCACTACTGACTGGCTACAGGATGGAGTTACCTGGTGTTTTGGTGAAATGTCGTGACCAATGAGGTCCATCAGGTTGGATTCAGGGGCGAAGCTCGCTGACAAGACTGGTGGATGGTAGCTCTATATGTCACGAATGGACAGAATTCATGATCCATAGGATTCTGTCCCAGTGACTTACTGGTGAATGGACTCGCTTCACAAATTGAAGGCCCAGAGTTCAGTCCCTGATGGGGTAGTGTGTGCTGTTGTAGAGTTTAAAATTAGAACAAAAGAGCTGTCCAGTACTTCCTGGTGTTGTTTCTTTGACTGATGTCAGTTTGTGATGTGGCTTGAAATCATCTCTTACAGTGTATACTCACATATAAAAGCAACAAAATGGTAAGTGTAAGGTATGAAATCGTAGAATACATAAATATTATAACCTGTATCACAGTAAGTGTATTCCTAATAAAATAATCTCAAGGATGGAGCAAGTAGGTTTGAGTCTGATTACCGGGTCTGTCGCCTACTTTTCCATGCATAATTTAGAACAGGATTGAGAGCTAACAACAGCTGCGTACCATAAAATCTCTTTGAGAGCAAGCTTTCTTGGTTAACATTGTCCTAGTGGCAGTTATTAATTGAGCCCATGCAAGGTATGATGTGGTCATCCAAACTGTAGTGATTTAATCATTTCAGTTGACGACTTGTAGTTGTTATCAATGTGACACTTCAAGCATAACGGTGATCACCTACCTCATGTCATGTGTACCTATATTTCCCAATTGCAATACTTTAACAACAGTAGGTAGAATACCTCGTCTGCAGTGTATATTTGAGTGCTTTGAGTTGTTTTTGAACCCTGACTTTTCTTCACAAGTAACTAGTGTTTTCCCGTCAGTTATTAGGATTCAAGTTTGAGCATAATTTTTTACATGCTTTTCTCAAAGTATTGCTTGATAATAAATTGTATGGACTTGTATTTTATTTAATTTAAATTTTATTCCTTTACGTTCCCAGTGGGGCAAGAGGCTTCAGACTAGAGGCTTGAAGTTTCGGTAGCAGTGACGTTTATTTTTACGGGATGGATCTGCTAGCCAGCCTCATGCCCAACCTTCCCTGTTTACCAGCTTTTATTACTGGCTTCGAGAGATAAAAGAGTGCGTGGGCTGGGGGATCTAATTCTGCATCACATGTGTGGATGGCGAGCATTTTACCGCTGTGCCACCAACGTCCACGAACTTGTATGGCCACTGTAATTACAGATAAAGAATAAACAGTGAGCAAAACAGCGAACAAATATATTCACACGTAGGTCAGCTAGTACATAATAGTAACCAAGAATAGTCAGCGTTATTTCATGAGTACCACTCCCCATATCACCCATCCATCTTAGCTCTCTTACGACTAATTAAGGTATCCACAGTAGTTCATACATATTTATAGGCTCGGATTGTTTGTTGCATATCATGACTGAAGTTCTTTTAAAGCCATCATTAATCTACAATTCTTACTTTTTATTTTACGTCAGGATCAGTGTTCATCAAGTAACGTGGTTCACAATACAGCTTCCGCAGACACACGTCTACATTTGGCGACAGGTGGTGAGTGTGTTAATTCGTTAACATTTCGAAATGGTAACGAATTAACACACTCACCACCTGTCGCCAAATGTAGACGTGTGTCTGCGGAAGCTGTATTGTGAACCACGTTACTTGATGAACACTGATCCTGACGTAAAATAAAAAGTAAGAATTGTAGATTAATGATGGCTTTAAAAGAACTTCAGTCATGATATGCAACAAACAATCCGAGCCTATAAATATGTATGAACTACTGTGGATACCTTAATTAGTCGTAAGAGAGCTAAGATGGATGGGTGATATGGGGAGTGGTACTCATGAAATAACGCTGACTATTCTTGGTTACTATTATGTACTAGCTGACCTACGTGTGAATATATTTGTTCGCTGTTTTGCTCACTGTTTATTCTTTATCTGTAATTACAGTGGCCATACAAGTTCGTGGACGTTGGTGGCACAGCGGTAAAATGCTCGCCATCCACACATGTGATGCAGAATTAGATCCCCCAGCCCACGCACTCTTTTATCTCTCGAAGCCAGTAATAAAAGCTGGTAAACAGGGAAGGTTGGGCATGAGGCTGGCTAGCAGATCCATCCCGTAAAAATAAACGTCACTGCTACCGAAACTTCAAGCCTCTAGTCTGAAGCCTCTTGCCCCACTGGGAACGTAAAGGAATAAAATTTAAATTAAATAAAATACAAGTCCATACAATTTATTATCAAGCAATACTTTGAGAAAAGCATGTAAAAAATTATGCTCAAACTTGAATCCTAATAACTGACGGGAAAACACTAGTTACTTGTGAAGAAAAGTCAGGGTTCAAAAACAACTCAAAGCACTCAAATATACACTGCAGACGAGGTATTCTACCTACTGTTGTTAAAGTATTGCAATTGGGAAATATAGGTACACATGACATGAGGTAGGTGATCACCGTTATGCTTGAAGTGTCACATTGATAACAACTACAAGTCGTCAACTGAAATGATTAAATCACTACAGTTTGGATGACCACATCATACCTTGCATGGGCTCAATTAATAACTGCCACTAGGACAATGTTAACCAAGAAAGCTTGCTCTCAAAGAGATTTTATGGTACGCAGCTGTTGTTAGCTCTCAATCCTGTTCTAAATTATGCATGGAAAAGTAGGCGACAGACCCGGTAATCAGACTCAAACCTACTTGCTCCATCCTTGAGATTATTTTATTAGGAATACACTTACTGTGATACAGGTTATAATATTTATGTATTCTACGATTTCATACCTTACACTTACCATTTTGTTGCTTTTATATGTGAGTATACACTGTAAGAGATGATTTCAAGCCACATCACAAACTGACATCAGTCAAAGAAACAACACCAGGAAGTACTGGACAGCTCTTTTGTTCTAATTTTAAACTCTACAACAGCACACACTACCCCATCAGGGACTGAACTCTGGGCCTTCAATTTGTGAAGCGAGTCCATTCACCAGTAAGTCACTGGGACAGAATCCTATGGATCATGAATTCTGTCCATTCGTGACATATAGAGCTACCATCCACCAGTCTTGTCAGCGAGCTTCGCCCCTGAATCCAACCTGATGGACCTCATTGGTCACGACATTTCACCAAAACACCAGGTAACTCCATCCTGTAGCCAGTCAGTAGTGAGCTGTCCAGTAACCCCCTGGTCCTCTAACTGGTGGTAGTCAGTAATATAACTTAGAATCAGTCAAACTCTTGCAAAATAAAATCAGATGGTTTGTTATGAATTTTCGCACAAATGAGTTAAGAGTTTAACCAATTAAAATGAATCTAAATAAGCGGATAAAAATGTATCCGTTGTTTCCAGCACCAGTAACATTCAAATGACTTTCGGATAAACCCAAACTGGGTAAAAACTGGCATCATCTCAAGAACACTCTTGTAATGCATTAAAACTGAAGTGATAATAAAGACACTATATAACTACTGATCTAACTCTTTATTAAGAAGTCATAGCATGAATTTAATAGACGAAATAGCACTAAAAGACATGGAAAAGCACTTACATCATGTGGTGTACGTTGACGAATTGCACTGGGTACGATGAGAGGAGTGGAATCATTGACATTGGTTACAGCAGGTACAGAACTTCCTACAACAAGTCCATTAGACTCGTTTAGATGCCCACTAAGCCTCCCAGAAATCGGTTGCTGACAAAATCTTGACCAAGTGTAGAAAGTATTCCCCGGGAGGGTTATATGTTCAGATGAAGTAAAGTAAGGTGGTGGATAGGTGGCGCTTAGGGACCTTGTAAATCGAGTTCGACTATTAGATTGAGTAGGCTCAGAAATTTCCGTAACCTACAAAGATAAAGCTTATGTACAATTGTGGATATTTCGTACACGAGATACACAAAAATTATGTGGAATTAATATAAAATATAACATAGTATCCACTCCAAAACGACTTGAGAACAAATTGTACCTTCGAGGTAAAGAATAATGGTGAAACTCATATTGAATAAATGAATGGCAAACCACACTAAAAGTCTGTTCAAGATTCTATAATCGATTCTCTATTCTTTAACACTGCACCAACATCAGTATCACTACTATCATATAACAAGGTTCCGTTTAGGTAGCTTTATGCAATAAAGGAGTCTTCAGAGACTCACTGTTGTGGTGCTGAACAAGAACACTTTCGCAGATCGCTCAGTGATAAACGTAGATATTAGCCTCCCAATGGATGTTCTGCCTGATTCCTGATGACACAACCCACTTCTCCTGCTACAAAATGAATTGTAAACATATGTTCAGTCGGATACCCAGTGTCATGATTGAACTGAGATGCTTACAAACATGTGTCACAACAGCGAACAAGTGACTGGATGTGTTAGTTTCAAGATTCATGTCTATAAATGTCATATAAACATCACAAAATTAGTTTCCCTGCAAAATTAAACCCACCATTCTTTGTCTCTAAAGACAATTCTAATACTACATGCTACTTATATGCAAACAACGAACTTAATCCCTATCGTCTTCCCTGAAACTACATTAATTATACGCAGTCAACTGTTTCGCTGAACTGTGCAATCTGTCTGGATTCAACATAGAACTCGGCACCGAAGTGCAGCAGCTCGAGTTGCCACGTTCCAAATAGCACACAGGTAGACAAGAAGATGAATGAAGAGAATCAATACAATCTGACAAGTAGAAGAGTGAAACAGAATGGGTAATGGTGGAAAGGAATATGAAAGATTACAGAGACTGAATACATCTGCGCTGGCCATTGACAACGATTTTGAGCCATGTCACCTATTGTCTCCAGCCATTGATTCCTAGAGTCAGTCCCGAGGGCCGCAACCCGGATGTCTGCCTCTCCCTACCTGACTCAGTCTAACTGTCAAGGATTTCATGGATTGATGACATGTTTTTGTTTGGCGACCCACCACTTACTCTTTTCCAACCTGCACCTATATCAGCTAGTAATGCCCGTCGGGGGAGGCGATGGTTAGACATGCGCAGCCCGTGACCTAGCCATCTCAGTCTATGTAACTTTATAGCCTCGTCGATTGATTTTCCCTCTTTGCCCAACACTCTACACCTAACGTCAACATTACTTACCTTATTAAACCACCTAACGTGAGACAGAGATCGCAGACATCTATGATCGAAAGCAGTCAACCTTTTCATGTCTTCAACTCGTATTGGCCATGTTTCAGAGCCATAGAGAAGGACGGAGTGAACTGATGAGCAGAGCAGTACACACGTCCCTTGGTTGATAACCGGATGTCACGCCTTCGCCAGAGATGGTGTAAGTCAGCAAAATCAGCTCGAGCTTTTCGGATCCGTGCTGAGATTTCATCGCCAATCAGTCCGTTGGTGCTGATACAACTTCCCAAATAGGTGAAGTGGTCAACATGTTCTATCACTTCACTCCCTATCACTAAGCTAGGAGTTGACGTAGTCCAGTCCTGTAGCAGCATCTTACATTTTGTAGGGGCGAATCGCATGCCAAACATACGAAGATTGCTGCTCAAGGTGTTCAGAAGACTCTGCTGGATTTTGTCAGCATCCTCCCCTAACAGGACTATGTCATCTGCATATTCTAAGTCCATAAGACTATTCCCTGGTAACAAATTGATTTCTAAGTCGTTACGTTAAGTTAAGGATGCTTCCATCAGCATATCTATGACGAAGTTAAACAGAAATGTGCAATCAATAATAACGGTTTTAATACCAGCACTGGGAAGCATTAGTAGCAGGAAGTAACTGTGATGAAACGTATAGGAGGCGTGAAGGAAGTGACAGGCAGAAAAGTGTATAGCATTGCTGTGTAATACTGAGATTATTCTGCGATATGAACACGATTTAAACCATTTATACAAATATCAACCGATGCCTCTGTCTGTCTGGATTCAACATAGAACTTGGCACCGAAGTGCAGCAGTTTAACCGATGCAGTTAAATCACAGCAGCTATCCCGACACACATGACGTTCGACATTTAATTATATCTGTTACAATCAAATCAAATTCTATCTTCTCTTCTATAAATACATAAAAGCTTCCAGAAAGGTGAATTCACATGCATTCACGTTATAGGATGCTAGGATTTGACAGTGTAGGGGACTTATACTAGAGTTCACTAATATTACAAATATGAGAATAATAATCCAAGTCAATGGAAGGTTAAATAACAATATATTACCAAAAATGCAGTGACGAGTTATATCAACAAAAAGGATTACTTGGATATAAAGTTTAAGTTCTCTGTTACAAATTATTTATATAATCCACGGGCACGTTAATTGTTTGGGTTGCGTTTGCTGTAGCTGCGGTGTTCCGGTTGTAGAAACGTCTTCGGTTGAGAGTAGCAGACTCCTACAATAAATCCGAAGTGTACAACACTGTGTGAGTTGAGCAAGTAAGCAGAAATAACCAGAGAGAGAAGACGAAGTCTCCAACAGCAAAGTGTATTTTCAATTGTACACGGAAGTTAAGTACATTTCAACAAGAAGCGTTTTAAACAAAAATTATGTACAATATCTCTAATTTCTAAAAATAACCAAAAAGTGTACAATCACATTGTTACGTACTCCACACGACTCCCCCTAGAGGTCCGGAGAGACCACCGGAAAATGTTAAGTAAAACTTTGAAGTAAACAATAATAGTAATAACAATTCTTGGATAAAAATAGGGATATATTACAATATGCATAAACGCCAGGTATGTGAATCATGTAAAATCTGAAAGCATATACAATTAGTTCAACAATAAAAATTGAAATAGAAAGTCATGTCACTTAAATTTGCACTAACCATGAACATTGATTTTTAATGTATAAAGAAAAATATGTATATACACAGTAATTAAGGAGGGGAAAGAAAACATTTAAAAAATATGGATTAAAGATCAATAGTTTCTGAAAAGGACAATACCTGTTTTGTAGGTGAGGTACATATAAATAAATAATAGTGATAGTAACATCAAAGTTTACGAAGATATAGTAACAGTCATGATAATACTGTCTGAACAGCCACCAGGCAAAAGCTTTTCTTGATTAGGTATGCCCAAATATGGAACAAACTACCTGAGAAAATACGACTAGCAAGCACATTGGCCTCCTTTGAAAAGGCACTTAATGACACACTAAGTGAGTTTGTAATTGATACCAATGGTAATTCCCATGTAGGAGTTTCAGAAATCATAGGCCCATTTAATGTATGAACTCAGAGACTACACCTGTTGTTTGTTTTGTCTCTATTTATAATTCCAGACAAAAAAGCAGCAGTCATGACAATAGCACCCATTCAACCAAGAGTCGATCAAACTATGTCTACCTGATACAAAGGGCGAACCATAATCAACATACGAAAGAAATATGAGAAAACAAGGTAGAAACTTACCGCAACACCACATGAAAAGATAAAAGTTACTTGGGTATCATTTATAATCCACCAACTGGTCTCCTACCCAAAAAGAATGCGGCGATGTTTTATCCAAAAAGGCGAGGAAATACATAAACCCACAGCAGCTGTTGTTAACACTCAGTGGGGGTAGGAGCCAACAAAGTAATCCTTTCAAAGCACATGTATACTTCAAATGGGCACGGAGACTTTGTAGAATACATCATAATCCAAATCACTGCCTCTACAGCGCCAATAAACCTGGATATCTATGATATAACGAAAACATGCTGAAAGCTGCATCTCAGAACAAGTTGACTCATTCCATGGTAATGATCTCCTGCGTGCCTTGTTCGACATATTGAATGGAATGGTTCGCAGTTATTCTAGTACTAGATCGAAAAGAATAAAAAATTCACCGGTTGCTGAATCAAAAGTACTTCTCTGCATGTTTAACTGTATTCTAACTGCTATGATTAATTTCAAACCATTTATCCCATAATCACTCAAATTCCAGGAACGATCCAATTCTACCATTTAAAGAAGCTGGCGGACACGATGTAAATGAGTATTCATGATCTGAAATAAAGAAGCAACTGGTTTTCAACATTTTACTCAACTTACGAGTACAGGGGTGAGGGTATACGTTATAACGTGGTTATATTTTCCGCGATTCAGGTTTTTTCGTCTTTCATTGGCTAGAACAGTGGCGGTCAATTGGAGTTTGAATTGTCCTTGGGTGCGTGCTGTCGGGTGCTGTCTTGGCGTGGTTGTGTTTGCGTCGTCTGCCAGTATATGTGATGACTATAAACGTGAATTAGACTATTTTAACGCTTTGTTTTTCTTTGTTTGTGCATGTACTAGGCTTTGTGTGTCGTACAATTCGTTGTTTGGTCTTGCGATGTCAACGAACCGGTGGGTTCTTGTGTTTTTCTTTAATTTAGGTTATACGTGCGGTATTTTCTTGATGGTTATTGATCATGCCTGTATTTCAATGTTGTTTTTTTACGATTTATCTTGGAATAGTTGTGACATAGATAGATACTAATTGATAAATTTATTTTAGTCCGTTGCAGGTAGTAAATTCGAGTGAAAGGAGCACAGACTTAAGTGGAATTTTCGGTGAATTAATACTTGGAAGGCGTTTCTTGAGCTGGGATGAATTTCAGAAGTCATTGGCAGAATTCCAAAAAGTGAGGAAGTCATTTAATGCTAACAATATAGTTGTCCTGCACTCACTATGTTCATACTTATAGCAAAACGATACCGGATGACAGATTTAAGTACGCTTTTGTTGGTTTTAAATGCACTTTTGGAGTGAATCGCACAAAACCTGGATTGAAATTGAAATATAAGTCGTAAGAAGAAGTGTAGTATGATTTCATGAATATTTCAGGTCTAAATGTTGCAATTGCTCGTCTTCATTTCGCGTGGTTTTGCGTAGTAGTGAATTCATAATTGCTTCCCACAATATGGTACATAACCATCTATGCAGCAGGGTGTACATGCAGAATGACCGACACTTGCTTTTGGTCCACTTCAGAAAGCCGTATTTCACAGGTATATTTGCGTTTTTATGACTCCGTTTTTAATTTATGTCGACCGAAATTTAATTAATTAATGTTCTTGTATACGGAAAGTTGTACTTTTTATTAACCTATTCGTGTGTACATTGCCTTAATCGGAAACAAGACACAAGCACTACCATCATTGCACGTGTAACATTCATTTTATAGTTATCTTTACGTTTTTTGTTTCACCTTTTGTAGTTAACCATGTGATGCAGAATTGCAAACAATGGGCGTGGTCACGCGACTTATTCGCATCTCAATGCACGTCAGCTGTTGTCCTTCGAAATCGAAGTGCCGCATTCGAAAGCTATATAAGCATTGTGAATAAGGGCTTGAGGAAAATTCATGACGAATTTGGAGAAGTGTTTGCCAGGAATTATGTAGTAGAAGTAGTCGCAGGAATCAATCGTACTCTGAATATGTAAATAAACTGAATTTGTATCATAATTAAAATACAGTTTTCATGTCAATCTTGTTGTCTTTCGATTCATGTGTTCCCTTATTGAGCACGGCATGCTAGACCGGTGCTCTCTAGGACTTTAAGTATACGTAAGTGTAATTGCGTAGGAACGATGTCGGTCGTCATGCGTCATAGTCATATAGAAGTCTTTAGGGACAAATGACAATAGTAGGCATAACTTAGGCACTGCATTCGAGTTCCAGTTCTTATACGGTTACGTGTATTCTAAAGTATTGCATTACTAATGTTTCACTTAAAGCGTGATGTCATTCCATATGACTAAGGCTGTTAACATGTAGCGTGAATTTCAGACTACACGAGACAAATTATTGAATTCGTTCAGCTGTAGCACTCGTAGTTAGATTTACCTTACACTACTATATGCCACCAATTACTTCGTCAGGTCTCATTAATAACTTGCGCCTGCATCTAGTCATCATGACAAATATATCCACAATCAGATGAAATAAAAAAGGTCTGGTAAGTAGGATGTTAAATATATTTAATCAAAAATAATAACAAGCACATGTATTTACGCAGTTGTTCGTCGTAATACTTTGGACAATGTCGAAGCACTGTGACCGGGTTGAATGACGTTACCGGATAGCTGCAGAAAAGTAAACAAAGAAGTAATATTAAAGTTAAACGCTTTAGATTTGCCTACCTTTGCTGAAAATGGTTCATTCTCCTTTCTCATTCTTCGTTTATGACAGCATTCTTCTGTGGTTTTTACTGTCACACCTATTGTTCATCTTCTAAAGGATAGCAGGAAGCAAATAATAATAACTAGAACAGGCTATGATAAGAGTTAAATTGTAAACCCTCAACAATGAACATTGTACACAGTTAAGATAAAATATAGTGTAATAGTGCACAAATGAAAAGAACATCGTGAAGTACATAAGTGATATTTCAGTGACAGGTAAACTGAAATATCTGCAACCTTACAATTCCTAAGACAACCTGACACGTAAGGTCTCTCACAAATTTCTGTAGGGCCTGTGGAGTACCATGGATGGTTTGCCGTTAATCTGAGCTTTTGAAGGATGCTTTACAAATGCAAAAGGTAATAACCATCGAGACTGAGGTAGTATTTCCTACCTGTTCGGCATTTTTTCCTTTGAGGCAGTTTCTTATCAACAGTTTCCAGTATTCATAGTGAGTCTATAGGAACCTTCATTGTATCACGATTTTCACCAAATATCCTTTAACTCACAGAAGCAGGCAGTAACCCCATACACTCAAGCATTGTAACCAGAACATCACAAAATGCTTACAGATAACTTGTTTAGTAATAACTGCTTGAAATATAAGGGCTATAAGTACATCTTTCATAGACACAATTAAGTCATTAAGGATCTCAGAATATCTTAGTGATTTGAAACAAAATAATTATTAAGATTGATATAATCTATGTAACAGGTGTAGTAGTTGTATGACACAGCTGCTAGCTACTAATCAACAGAAAGCTGATACTCATTTTAAGTACTCTGACATTAAGTACTCTGCCATTGCCTGTAGTATATTTACAACTTTAAGATTTGAAACAACTTGCGAAAAACAAACCCTCAACGCACTATAATGCTAATAATACTCTTTCTATGCGAACTTTCTTCAAAAGGATGACTTCTTCATTGATAATCCGTCAGACCTATAATATAAAATTTTACGCTTTACTATGAACAAAATAATGCCGTGTGGCTCCAGAAGTCTAAAACTAGTCAAATATGATCTATTTCCCAATTAATAGGCGATTATAACGCCTGTAGCCGTGAACGCGGTAACCGATGTCGCTGCGCGATAACACCTGGTTATAGCGTATACCCTCTCTCCAAGTACAGTCCGCCATGCAGACATAAATGGCGCAAATGGGGAATTCTGGAATCGACCTCGGGACCATTTGATGCAGTAAAACAACCCGACATGACCTTATCTAATTTTCGCCTCCACGATCAAATTTCTTTCCTGTTATGAAACTACGATAAGACTGCTGAAAAATGGAATAAATATATCACTGATCTCAACATAATACATCAATAATCTTTAAGCCAAGGGTGCTGTTCACAACAAAGTTATATAGAAGAATTGACTTCAAGCTTTATTTTTCCCATATATCTGTATTACATTCATGTGATGTCTGGGTTTTTTGTTAATGCGAAGACAATATTTCTATATCTCTTTATGTGCTACACAAACAGACTTTATAGCAGACTGTTCCGACTGACTCTAATGTCAGAAAGAACAACCAAACTGTAAATTCATCATACATGAAATTATGTGTAATTTATATAATAACTTATCCATGCCTGTACAATAGGTATGTTCCTGCATAAACAGGAAGGAATATATTATTATTATTAAAACAATATTTATGCATGCCTGTACAATTGGTGTGCCCTACATAGCTAGGGAAAAAAATGTACTTTATTATATTATCTTTACTAAATATGCTTATTAATATTATGTGTAAATTATCGAATTGATGATGCCTGTAAACTGGCGTCCCTCATGTAAAAAAATGAGAATATATATTATTATTATTAAACGAAAAAGATCATTTTTAATTAATTTTTTTAATCAGTCTTCAAAATGAACGTAGCGAGCTGGTTTGCTGATTTGCCGACCACTACGTGTTTGATATGGAGGGAGGATAAGACTTGGTGCCGGTGGGGTGGAATCGGATGTTTGATTATTTGATTGTGCAGTTGCCGATGTAGATTCAAAGCCGTTGTCTGTGTACGCGGGTTTGATTCGATCAATGGAAATAGTCTCTCGTTTTCCATTCTTGGCCACTGTAAAGTGTTTGTCTAAACGTTTAATAACTTGAAAGGGTCCTTCGTATGGAGGTTGAAATCCTTTTCTGATGGCGTCGACTCGAACGAAGACGACTTAGGTATTTTAGGGGAACGATGAAGTGGGGCGGAAAAAGTGCAATCCGCTGGTCTTTCAATACTGATATTATAGACGGAATAATCGGAGATAATTCCATGGATCTTTAGTTGGGTGTTGTTATCAATCAGTTTTTTATTGTTGACGTCAACTAACAGGTTGAAATTACTTAAGAAATCAGCTCCGAGGATGGCGTGACCGACGTCGGCTACTATGAAAATCCATGTAAAACGCCGACGTAAACCTAGACCCAGTACAAGGGATTGCTCTCCATACGTCTGTATGCTTGTGTGGTCGGCTGCTCGGAGAGACAGTTTTCCGGGTGTCCGTGTAGATCACCTGGATAGTGAAGGAGGTATCACGCTAACTCCTGCTCCCGTGTCTACCAGGAATAAAGTGTCTGAAGTTTTGTCCTTCACATAGAAGAGGCGACTTGTTTGCTTGCCAGTAACAGCTGTCGCCATCACTGTCTGGCTGGGACGTTTCCCTAAGCCCGGTTGGCTTCACTAAAGCTGCACGGTTTTACACATTTCAGGGCATGACGTCCAAACTTCCAGTGATACCAGCATATATTACTATCCCGAGAAGACGAGTGAGAACGCTGTCGTGAGAAGGATCGTCGTCGTGATGGTGACCTCCTTTGTGAACTCCGTCTCCGGACTCGTCAATCAGACCTATTAGTTTCCAACTTGTCAATCCTTGCCGCTAAGTCTGCAATGGCGGCGAGTATCGGTGTGTCTGCCGTGGGTGTGGAATGACACGGTGTGGTACTATCAGATGCTATGTGACTTATGGTGTTATCAGATAAAACATCCATAATACTATCTGCCATGTCACTTAGTGGGTCTAAGTCATACGACTTTCCTGAGATGATTAAAATTTGCTGGACATTTCTAGGTAAACGTTGCAACCACATCTGTTTCAGCACTACCTCGTCTACTTTATGGTGTCCGATTAACTGGCGCATGTGCCTGAGGAGCTGGGATGGTTTACGTGGGCGTAGTTCACAGCCCGTGAGCGATTGGATTCTTTTCTCATCTGACAAACTGGTGCGTTGTATGAGGAGGGCTTTAAGTTTATCAAATTGGTTTTCGTCGGGGGATTTTCGATGAAATCGCTGATTTCTGTCAATATTGACGGAGGGAGTGCTGCCAGCACCATACCATATTTGGCTATCTGGGATTTAACCATATATCAAGAGATGAAGATACAACCTGATCAATATGAAACCAGTTTGCAAATCTTCTGCACTCACTCAGAAACATAAACAACAAGATTCGAATTCTACTCAACACAAATCTGAGGTCAGTCAATCAGTCAGTCAATTCTTCTATATGAATCAGAAACTTGCACTGCGCGTGAGTAGTCACGAAAAGGATTTCCAACGGCCTGTCTCACACTTTCATCAACAACTGACCACCTCGCTGGCTGACTCCATATAAAGATCAAATGGCCAGGAAGAATTAGCAACATGAAATTATGGCTGGGAACAAACCAACGAAGAGCCAATCGCTCAACAAATATGCAGGAGAAAATGGAGATGGATTGGGCATAAATAAGTTGAGGAGACAGTCAAATAACGTCGCGCGCAATGCAGGCCATTCCTCAAGTGGCACTCGAATGGGTTGTCATTGCTAGGGTGACATGGAGGAGATCGTGTGAGTAAGAGGAGGAGATGAGAGATTGTGGGCAATCATGGTCCAAGCTGAAGAGGACGGCAGAAGATAGGACAAAGTGGAGATGTATTGTTCAAGCCGTATGTTCCACTCGGAACCCAAGGGAATAAATAATCACAGCAGATCTCTGATTAATATCAGCGGAGATTTCATCACAATAATCCGCATCACTTAACGAATCACTGGGAATCAAGGTTGATAATTTTCGAACTATATACCTATTGTAGTTAAAGATACAATGTGGTAGTTAGGAACTATTCATCAGTTCATCATCGGTCACTGTCTGGCCACAGAAGAGAGTAAAGAACCGACTAGTGATGACTTGGCTGAAAACATTGACTACTCATATCAATAAATCGATCAATATAAACCATGAAAAACCTACCTGTAAAGACAAACTGTCTTCAGCTGTAGCCGTTTGATAAATTTGTCTCAAGACTGAAGAAACACTTTTAAAAGTGCGATTTATACCAGGAAATCTTAAATCTCCCGATGAGTTTCGAGTGACACGACCCCATAGGACATTTTCATCCATAGGAGGAGGAGGATTCAAAATTTGTTCATTAATCCTGTTGGCGGCTGAAGAGATTGACAACTGTTTACAATATAAATAAATATGAATTTTTGAGATACACAATTATGGAAAGATATTCAGTGGTTTAATAATAACACAGAAAGGATTCTATACTACTTTCCTTAACCAGCTGGATGTATCTGCTTATCAATAAGCGATGTTCTCACTTAGACCAGAATCCACTGCTGAGTTGTGGATGATAACACTCCTGAAAGCAAACCAATCTGCAAAGGCATTGGCGATCCAATACACAGTCACCACTGATCCTCAGCTCGGAGGATATATTTTACAGATGTAGGGCAATGCTGTGCGCACCGAAGCATTGTAAACCCGACAAGTGATGGTTACTAAAACAACCATCTGCATGCACGTACTTATCGGTTACTCCTAACAGTTCACCTGTAAGGGTGAAGCCAGGTACAGGTTCCCCCCAGTGTTATAACAATCAGTCGCATTTAGACGGAGAAAAGTACATAACATACTTATTATAAGTATTGACCACCAATTGATTAAGTACGATTTGCACAGCCTGCAGCATGTTACTGCACAGTAAGACGACGTCGTTTGCAAACTCGAATTCGAAGTATTTTCGGTTAGCAGATCCACACAACCACCATCACGCACATCCTCCAGAGCCGACTCCAGAATGTGACTGATGACAAATTTAAACAGAAGTGGGGATATCGGGTAACCCTGTTTATCCCCACTAGTAGTTGAGACCACTGATGGAATAATAATCATTGGAAAACCAAATGTAAAATGATCCATAGGTCTGGGTGATTGGATCTCAACTAGCGAAGTGTATATTAGAACTACGGTATTTTTTCTTAAATGGGACATCGAACAATCCCTTAGAATCAGCACATGTACACGCTGGTGTGACTCATTGTTAGGTGCATAAATTCACACTGAGTTGCAGCAATGCAACCTTTTCAAGAATTAATAAGTAATAAAACTGGTAAGTGACCACTGTAGGATTTAATTCGCCTACAGATATATTCGTCCTCAAAGTCATATACTAAGGACACAGAATTTAAACCTTACTGTAATTTTTACAGCACAGGTAACCTGCCTTGAAACGTTATCGGTTACCGAAATACAAAGATACCTAGTTACATGATAAAAATATGTAACCAACAGTTGTCTTTCATCAACAGAGACACAAAAATAACGAACATTATTGACGTGTAAAACAAATCTTTAGTCTGTTATATCCACGTGTAGATAAGACGATGAAAATAACAGTTTAAATGCACAAGATATTTGTAAATTGAAATTACAATTCTGATAATCATTCTCGACACTTACTCTGTTCGGATCGACTGTAGATACAACTGGATTTCGTATATTACTTCCTAAATGTTGGGAACAAGTGTTTACCATTGGTGGCTGTGAATTCAGCAATACACTGGTTGCTGGTTGGGTGCATCCTTTTGACAGTGGTGTGGGACGGGGAACTAACGTACATCTATTACGAACAGCTGAATGAACTGGACGATGATTAAATGCATCGGAAGTCCTAGGTCCAGAAGATTGCGTTGTTGGACGAAGAATGACACCAGATGAAGAACCAGAGAGAGTGTCATTACGAAATGGTAACGAATTAACACACTCACCACCTGTCGCCAAATGTAGACGTGTGTCTGCGGAAGCTGTATTGTGAACCACGTTACTTGATGAACACTGATCCTGACGTAAAATAAAAAGTAAGAATTGTAGATTAATGATGGCTTTAAAAGAACTTCAGTCATGATATGCAACAAACAATCCGAGCCTATAAATATATATGAACTACTGTGGATACCTTAATTAGTCGTAAGAGAGCTAAGATGGATGGGTGATATGGGGAGTGGTACTCATGAAATAACGCTGACTATTCTTGGTTACTATTATGTACTAGCTGACCTACGTGTGAATATATTTGTTCGCTGTTTTGCTCACTGTTTATTCTTTATCTGTAATTACAGTGGCCATACAAGTTCGTGGACGTTGGTGGCACAGCGGTAAAATGCTCGCCATCCACACATGTGATGCAGAATTAGATCCCCCAGCCCACGCACTCTTTTATCTCTCGAAGCCAGTAATAAAAGCTGGTAAACAGGGAAGGTTGGGCATGAGGCTGGCTAGCAGATCCATCCCGTAAAAATAAACGTCACTGCTACCGAAACTTCAAGCCTCTAGTCTGAAGCCTCTTGCCCCACTGGGAACGTAAAGGAATAAAATTTAAATTAAATAAAATACAAGTCCATACAATTTATTATCAAGCAATACTTTGAGAAAAGCATGTAAAAAATTATGCTCAAACTTGAATCCTAATAACTGACGGGAAAACACTAGTTACTTGTGAAGAAAAGTCAGGGTTCAAAAACAACTCAAAGCACTCAAATATACACTGCAGACGAGGTATTCTACCTACTGTTGTTAAAGTATTGCAATTGGGAAATATAGGTACACATGACATGAGGTAGGTGATCACCGTTATGCTTGAAGTGTCACATTGATAACAACTACAAGTCGTCAACTGAAATGATTAAATCACTACAGTTTGGATGACCACATCATACCTTGCATGGGCTCAATTAATAACTGCCACTAGGACAATGTTAACCAAGAAAGCTTGCTCTCAAAGAGATTTTATGGTACGCAGCTGTTGTTAGCTCTCAATCCTGTTCTAAATTATGCATGGAAAAGTAGGCGACAGACCCGGTAATCAGACTCAAACCTACTTGCTCCATCCTTGAGATTATTTTATTAGGAATACACTTACTGTGATACAGGTTATAATATTTATGTATTCTACGATTTCATACCTTACACTTACCATTTTGTTGCTTTTATATGTGAGTATACACTGTAAGAGATGATTTCAAGCCACATCACAAACTGACATCAGTCAAAGAAACAACACCAGGAAGTACTGGACAGCTCTTTTGTTCTAATTTTAAACTCTACAACAGCACACACTACCCCATCAGGGACTGAACTCTGGGCCTTCAATTTGTGAAGCGAGTCCATTCACCAGTAAGTCACTGGGACAGAATCCTATGGATCATGAATTCTGTCCATTCGTGACATATAGAGCTACCATCCACCAGTCTTGTCAGCGAGCTTCGCCCCTGAATCCAACCTGATGGACCTCATTGGTCACGACATTTCACCAAAACACCAGGTAACTCCATCCTGTAGCCAGTCAGTAGTGAGCTGTCCAGTAACCCCCTGGTCCTCTAACTGGTGGTAGTCAGTAATATAACTTAGAATCAGTCAAACTCTTGCAAAATAAAATCAGATGGTTTGTTATGAATTTTCGCACAAATGAGTTAAGAGTTTAACCAATTAAAATGAATCTAAATAAGCGGATAAAAATGTATCCGTTGTTTCCAGCACCAGTAACATTCAAATGACTTTCGGATAAACCCAAACTGGGTAAAAACTGGCATCATCTCAAGAACACTCTTGTAATGCATTAAAACTGAAGTGATAATAAAGACACTATATAACTACTGATCTAACTCTTTATTAAGAAGTCATAGCATGAATTTAATAGACGAAATAGCACTAAAAGACATGGAAAAGCACTTACATCATGTGGTGTACGTTGACGAATTGCACTGGGTACGATGAGAGGAGTGGAATCATTGACATTGGTTACAGCAGGTACAGAACTTCCTACAACAAGTCCATTAGACTCGTTTAGATGCCCACTAAGCCTCCCAGAAATCGGTTGCTGACAAAATCTTGACCAAGTGTAGAAAGTATTCCCCGGGAGGGTTATATGTTCAGATGAACTAAAGTAAGGTGGTGGATAGGTGGCGCTTAGGGACCTTGTAAATCGAGTTCGACTATTAGATTGAGTAGGCTCAGAAATTTCCGTAACCTACAAAGATAAAGCTTATGTACAATTGTGGATATTTCGTACACGAGATACACAAAAATTATGTGGAATTAATATAAAATATAACATAGTATCCACTCCAAAACGACTTGAGAACAAATTGTACCTTCGAGGTAAAGAATAATGGTGAAACTCATATTGAATAAATGAATGGCAAACCACACTAAAAGTCTGTTCAAGATTCTATAATCGATTCTCTATTCTTTAACACTGCACCAACATCAGTATCACTACTATCATATAACAAGGTTCCGTTTAGGTAGCTTTATGCAATAAAGGAGTCTTCAGAGACTCACTGTTGTGGTGCTGAACAAGAACACTTTCGCAGATCGCTCAGTGATAAACGTAGATATTAGCCTCCCAATGGATGTTCTGCCTGATTCCTGATGACACAACCCACTTCTCCTGCTACAAAATGAATTGTAAACATATGTTCAGTCGGATACCCAGTGTCATGATTGAACTGAGATGCTTACAAACATGTGTCACAACAGCGAACAAGTGACTGGATGTGTTAGTTTCAAGATTCATGTCTATAAATGTCATATAAACATCACAAAATTAGTTTCCCTGCAAAATTAAACCCACCATTCTTTGTCTCTAAAGACAATTCTAATACTACATGCTACTTATATGCAAACAACGAACTTAATCCCTATCGTCTTCCCTGAAACTACATTAATTATACGCAGTCAACTGTTTCGCTGAACTGTGCAATCTGTCTGGATTCAACATAGAACTCGGCACCGAAGTGCAGCAGCTCGAGTTGCCACGTTCCAAATAGCACACAGGTAGACAAGAAGATGAATGAAGAGAATCAATACAATCTGACAAGTAGAAGAGTGAAACAGAATGGGTAATGGTGGAAAGGAATATGAAAGATTACAGAGACTGAATACATCTGCGCTGGCCATTGACAACGATTTTGAGCCATGTCACCTATTGTCTCCAGCCATTGATTCCTAGAGTCAGTCCCGAGGGCCGCAACCCGGATGTCTGCCTCTCCCTACCTGACTCAGTCTAACTGTCAAGGATTTCATGGATTGATGACATGTTTTTGTTTGGCGACCCACCACTTACTCTTTTCCAACCTGCACCTATATCAGCTAGTAATGCCCGTCGGGGGAGGCGATGGTTAGACATGCGCAGCCCGTGACCTAGCCATCTCAGTCTATGTAACTTTATAGCCTCGTCGATTGATTTTCCCTCTTTGCCCAACACTCTACACCTAACGTCAACATTACTTACCTTATTAAACCACCTAACGTGAGACAGAGATCGCAGACATCTATGATCGAAAGCAGTCAACCTTTTCATGTCTTCAACTCGTATTGGCCATGTTTCAGAGCCATAGAGAAGGACGGAGTGAACTGATGAGCAGAGCAGTACACACGTCCCTTGGTTGATAACCGGATGTCACGCCTTCGCCAGAGATGGTGTAAGTCAGCAAAATCAGCTCGAGCTTTTCGGATCCGTGCTGAGATTTCATCGCCAATCAGTCCGTTGGTGCTGATACAACTTCCCAAATAGGTGAAGTGGTCAACATGTTCTATCACTTCACTCCCTATCACTAAGCTAGGAGTTGACGTAGTCCAGTCCTGTAGCAGCATCTTACATTTTGTAGGGGCGAATCGCATGCCAAACATACGAAGATTGCTGCTCAAGGTGTTCAGAAGACTCTGCTGGATTTTGTCAGCATCCTCCCCTAACAGGACTATGTCATCTGCATATTCTAAGTCCATAAGACTATTCCCTGGTAACAAATTGATTTCTAAGTCGTTACGTTAAGTTAAGGATGCTTCCATCAGCATATCTATGACGAAGTTAAACAGAAATGTGCAATCAATAATAACGGTTTTAATACCAGCACTGGGAAGCATTAGTAGCAGGAAGTAACTGTGATGAAACGTATAGGAGGCGTGAAGGAAGTGACAGGCAGAAAAGTGTATAGCATTGCTGTGTAATACTGAGATTATTCTGCGATATGAACACGATTTAAACCATTTATACAAATATCAACCGATGCCTCTGTCTGTCTGGATTCAACATAGAACTTGGCACCGAAGTGCAGCAGTTTAACCGATGCAGTTAAATCACAGCAGCTATCCCGACACACATGACGTTCGACATTTAATTATATCTGTTACAATCAAATCAAATTCTATCTTCTCTTCTATAAATACATAAAAGCTTCCAGAAAGGTGAATTCACATGCATTCACGTTATAGGATGCTAGGATTTGACAGTGTAGGGGACTTATACTAGAGTTCACTAATATTACAAATATGAGAATAATAATCCAAGTCAATGGAAGGTTAAATAACAATATATTACCAAAAATGCAGTGACGAGTTATATCAACAAAAAGGATTACTTGGATATAAAGTTTAAGTTCTCTGTTACAAATTATTTATATAATCCACGGGCACGTTAATTGTTTGGGTTGCGTTTGCTGTAGCTGCGGTGTTCCGGTTGTAGAAACGTCTTCGGTTGAGAGTAGCAGACTCCTACAATAAATCCGAAGTGTACAACACTGTGTGAGTTGAGCAAGTAAGCAGAAATAACCAGAGAGAGAAGACGAAGTCTCCAACAGCAAAGTGTATTTTCAATTGTACACGGAAGTTAAGTACATTTCAACAAGAAGCGTTTTAAACAAAAATTATGTACAATATCTCTAATTTCTAAAAATAACCAAAAAGTGTACAATCACATTGTTACGTACTCCACACGACTCCCCCTAGAGGTCCGGAGAGACCACCGGAAAATGTTAAGTAAAACTTTGAAGTAAACAATAATAGTAATAACAATTCTTGGATAAAAATAGGGATATATTACAATATGCATAAACGCCAGGTATGTGAATCATGTAAAATCTGAAAGCATATACAATTAGTTCAACAATAAAAATTGAAATAGAAAGTCATGTCACTTAAATTTGCACTAACCATGAACATTGATTTTTAATGTATAAAGAAAAATATGTATATACACAGTAATTAAGGAGGGGAAAGAAAACATTTAAAAAATATGGATTAAAGATCAATAGTTTCTGAAAAGGACAATACCTGTTTTGTAGGTGAGGTACATATAAATAAATAATAGTGATAGTAACATCAAAGTTTACGAAGATATAGTAACAGTCATGATAATACTGTCTGAACAGCCACCAGGCAAAAGCTTTTCTTGATTAGGTATGCCCAAATATGGAACAAACTACCTGAGAAAATACGACTAGCAAGCACATTGGCCTCCTTTGAAAAGGCACTTAATGACACACTAAGTGAGTTTGTAATTGATACCAATGGTAATTCCCATGTAGGAGTTTCAGAAATCATAGGCCCATTTAATGTATGAACTCAGAGACTACACCTGTTGTTTGTTTTGTCTCTATTTATAATTCCAGACAAAAAAGCAGCAGTCATGACAATAGCACCCATTCAACCAAGAGTCGATCAAACTATGTCTACCTGATACAAAGGGCGAACCATAATCAACATACGAAAGAAATATGAGAAAACAAGGTAGAAACTTACCGCAACACCACATGAAAAGATAAAAGTTACTTGGGTATCATTTATAATCCACCAACTGGTCTCCTACCCAAAAAGAATGCGGCGATGTTTGATCCAAAAAGGCGAGGAAATACATAAACCCACAGCAGCTGTTGTTAACACTCAGTGGGGGTAGGAGCCAACAAAGTAATCCTTTCAAAGCACATGTATACTTCAAATGGGCACGGAGACTTTGTAGAATACATCATAATCCAAATCACTGCCTCTACAGCGCCAATAAACCTGGATATCTATGATATAACGAAAACATGCTGAAAGCTGCATCTCAGAACAAGTTGACTCATTCCATGGTAATGATCTCCTGCGTGCCTTATTCGACATATTGAATGGAATGGTTCGCAGTTATTCTAGTACTAGATCGAAAAGAATAAAAAATTCACCGGTTGCTGAATCAAAAGTACTTCTCTGCATGTTTAACTGTATTCTAACTGCTATGATTAATTTCAAACCATTTATCCCATAATCACTCAAATTCCAGGAACGATCCAATTCTACCATTTAAAGAAGCTGGTGGACACGATGTAAATGAGTATTCATGATCTGAAATAAAGAAGCAACTGGTTTTCAACATTTTACTCAACTTACGAGTACAGTCCTCCGGCAATGGATAAAGGCACACACGACCTTATGGAGAGCCTGAGCACCTCAAGGTCACGTATGCATACTGTGATTGGTAAATTTTACTTTGCGTAAACACTGCGGCTAATACGTAGCTCACGTTACTGAGGCGGGCTTTGAAATGATAGTAATAAAAGTCGCATAAACACTACATTTTTTCAGCTTAAGGACACAAGTAAACGCATGCATAGATTCTACAGATGTGATATGCATGTGGACCCACTAAAAAAGGGAATATTATTGGGTAACTTAATCAATGAAGTATAAAGTTTGAAGATTTAGTCTTTTTCAGTTGATTGTAGCGGACAGAGAGGAGAGGCATTTGTGTAACATTTGCATTTTGCAGAAGACGAAGTGTGAAAGATAAATCGGAAGTTCTATAATTCTTCAAATCCGTCGTGGAACATATGGACTAATCTTACCGATTCTACTATTGTTCCCTCCCTTGTTCACATATTCATTGTTGCTAAGATTGGGGATTGTTCACCTGAGGTAAGATTAATTCATCTGATATGTATATATCCTTAGATATTTCTCAGTGTGGTCGGAGGTGGTCAAAGGAATACAATCTCAATCTTTGCATGGAAAGGTCATAACCAGTTTCTTCTGAAGGATCAGGTGGTGCTGAAAGCTGTAAAGACTGGTCCAGTGTCACAATCATCTAAGGGAAACTGATCCACATATTGTGGATAAAACGATTAGTGGACTTTAATTTGACAATCATGTACCCATAAAAAATCTACAACTGTGATTTTTTCCCACCCTTTTTAATGTGAATATGTACTGTTTAACTGTTTTTATTTTGTAAATATATGCATTTATGTTGGCTACATGTATCTCTCTTAATTATCAATTCGAGGACATTGCATAGTTAACGAA